ATCATTGCGTAAACCCCTGAGGGTTTACGCAGTATATATTGGACGATGTCCGTAGTCTTTCGGAACACCGGATGTTATTCGGAATACATCTGTTCTTTCTACGACCACCTTTCATATACATGCGCAATAGCTTATTAATTGACCTGTTGAATAAGCATTAGCATCTTAAAGTTGCTATAGAGATATGTTACATATGATGCGAAATTTATTATGATGCAAGCTACTTTAATAAGCATTTGAATACTTCCTTGCACGTAATTACAAGCTGCTAATATTTACCTACATATATGCGTACTTATTTTAATTAGAGCTGAACGTTGAAACCAGCTGTGTGTAGATATGAGATAAGATTTCATGTAAACAATGCGATTTATATTAGGAACGAGAATCGTTAAAACTAAAATCTATAAAAGAAGTATTACTAGCATTTCATTTAAGATTTTGAGTCTAGGGAAGATGTAGGCTAATTCATTTTTTTTTATACTGAAATTAAAAAGAAGTCTTTCTTGCACTTTATTAAAATTTTACGTCTAGAATAGACCAAGGACGTATATAATCTATTATACGTCCTTGAATGGATGTAAAAAACGAGGATTAATTTTTCGAAAAAAATATCGTTTATTAAAAATAACGTTTAAATTAATTATGAAAGTACACTGCAAATTGAAATACAGTTATTTTCTTTGTTTAAATATTGCAACATTATTTCCTTTTTAAAAAACAAGGAGGTCATATAACCTTGATTAAAATAACAAATCAGATTGTTATAGGTATATCTGGATCCTTTTTCGTTATTAGAATGTGAATAAATTGATATTGAATATGAAAGAAAAAACTAAAACTGAAATGAGTCTGAAATCTAAATCTAAAATACATTTAAAAAAAAATACATTTGACCATGCAGATGAAAGAAATAATACTTCAAGCAGTGAAATAACGAATTAAATGTGCCGCTTTAATAACGATCGATAACCTTAAAATTAATCATGCATGCAATTTCAGCAGACTTAACAGGGTCAGCGATAAGATATCAAATGTCTATTTATAGACACCGAGTGATGACAGATGCAGGCAGAAATAAGAAAAAATAATTTCTATTTATAGTTATCTGGGCCAGGGAACAAATTATCTAACCTGTAGTAATTAAGGCTCTAATAATGGCTACATTGAAAGTCCATGCAGGTGGAGTGAGATGTAGACTTTACGAATGAGACAATAGCCTATTCAAATGATTTTTTAGTAATCTAATTTGAAAAAAATAGAAAGACAATATAAATACTAAAAAAAAAATCATAGAAAGATCTTGCGAGGTTAATGATTTTTTTTCTTATTATAATTACGTTTTTAAATGGGTTTTTTAGTCGTTAAATACTTTAGGATACCTTATATATGTCATGCTCTCGTATTAAACTGGTGCAATTGAAAGAAAAAATCGTCACAAGTGAAATGCAGATCGGCGCAAATGCAAAACGCCGGTTTAAGATAAATTAACTAAGAGATTTACCCCTTACTAAATAAATAAAATCTGCTATTTGTTCTGCCTTTCTTAATACATTTGTCCTGCCTTTCTTAATACAATAATCTGAAATCCATTTTTAATTCATCAAATGTTCGCGCGGTAAAAATCTTTCTCCTGTCTTACCTAAAAAATTTCTTATACCCAGTTATATTTCATCAAATGGTTGCTCGCAACAATAAAAATCTTTTTCTCCCCACCGTACCCAGAGGAGGGACGACATTGAAGGTGTCTCCCACTTACTGTATTTTTAAATCCATAAATAATTTATCAAAAGGTAGCTCGCCAAAAAAAATTCTCTTCCTTTTGTTTTTCCTTAAATAATTTTTCTTAAACCTTTTAATCTATCAAATAGTCGCTTATAGCAGTAACAAGCATTTTTATTTTTTATGATTTCAAGCTATGTACTTGCATTTGTGTTGGGATATTAAATGTTATGTTTTTCCCTCGAGGTTTTTCCTTAATAATTGATTGGGCACTTTTCGAATTATTCATTTTATTATAACTGTAAAAAGTATTTAAAATTAGATTAATAAAAATCGGATTTAAAATGATGCATTCAACGAATTGCAAACACACCAAAATTTCGGAATAGCAACTTTTAATAGGGGTGTACTTTACAATAGTGATTATTTTTTTTTTGCTTAAGTACACTATATTTTCCGTCTATCGTTTTTTTTATATTGTAAATTATTTAATTTTGAATAACAATATATAATACTTTTGTTTTAACTATATTATTGTCTTTTCTTGCACCCCTAATTAAGAATGGTTGATTCCTACGATCATTTATGTAAGTTTCACTTTATTTAAATTATATGCCAATATTGGAAACCAATGATTTTTTTCATTCAAAACTGCTTCAATATAAAAATCAGAAGATGTGGTACGAATGTCAATGACACAACTCCCTTTCAAGACACAATGTGGTACAATTAAGCAAAATTTTACAGGTTACATTTTTTCTTTCAATACAAGCCATCTCAGTGATCAGTAGGCTATACAGTGCCCCCAAATGACTAGTATAAAACTATCCAGCACGAGAGAAAAAGGATAGGTCAATATAAGAAACCTACAAGGCAACTTCAGTTCCATTTCAATATTTAGATTATTCTAATGCATTTGTCAAATGTCAGAGGGAATATCTGTTAAATGTGGTAGGAATACCAATGAGACAACTCTCCATCAAGACACAGTGTAGTCAAAGTAAGCAATTATAGGTTATAATACAGCCTTCAACACAAAGGCTTGGCTCACATTGAACTGCATCCTACTAGGGGCCCCAAGACACTGTTATAAAATAATTCAAACAGGAAAAATCAAATCTAATTTAATTTCAAACCAGAAACAAAAAGCAAATATGAACTGCACCAAAAAAAACCCACTAAACAACATGCTTCTGACTTGGGACATGTGCTTATGAATACACCTGTTTTAAAAGAATTTACATACATACCATAAGACAGTAGTGTAACTTTACCATGTAAAAGACACCCTTTAAAAGTTAATGAAAAAACGTGTTCAAATAAAAAAATGATTATGTTAGTTGTTTTGTTGTTTTCAATTTACTTTGTTTATTTATAAGTACAAGGTGTAAGCTGTTTTGTCTAGGCTGTAAATAGCTTTCTTAATGAATTGGTTTTGGTCATCAAGGTGAAGAGAATACAGTGCAATTCAAATTATATATATTTACAATTAAACTTGCAGGACTTTTTTCATGACCCACAATTTAAAATATAAGAAAACATCAAAATAAAAAGGGACATTCAAAAAATATCTTCAAATCGAGTTAAAGGTTTTAAAAAGTTTTTGTTTTAAACAAAAGAGGTTTGTCATCTAAAACTTTTAAGAGCACACAGCACACAACTTAAAATTGCCAATGCTTACTACCCTAAGCATCACAAAAACCTTGCAGAGCAGGTGTAAGAGGGTAGGAATGCCCTTTACCGTAAGGCGTCAAACGGTCATTTTTGGCTACCGTTAGCGTTAAATTGGTTAAAATTTTACCGTGATTCGTCAAAATATCCTTATCGTGATTCGTCAGAGGTCTCAAATAATTGTCGTTACCGTTATTTTGGGGAAAAAATTAACTTGATTCGTCAAAATCCGTCGATTTTTTTTATCGTCTAAAAGAAAGTGTACATTTTATCGTCATGCACCAGAAATTACCGTTAACGTCATTTGGCAAGAATTTTTACCGTTATTCGTCATGAAGGTACCCCCATTACGACTCTCGTGTAAGGATCTTAATAATGAACAATATCAAGCCATTGTTCAAATAACCATGAACATATCTCAAATTTCAATAAAAACAGCTATTAAGTTTCACGTATTGCATTTCTTTTTTTAAGCACAAATAATCATTAATTGATTAAATTTCTTCACATTTGTATTTGAACATAAGCCTAGAAACTAACTCTTATCTAAAAAAACAATTATCTAATATTTAATGCCAAACAAGCATTTGGGTTTACGATTGCATTTCTTTTTTTAAAGAAAGCAATTTGTTATTTATTATTATTCATTAAACTTTATGAAACATAATAATTTAGCAATTATATACAGAGTGATATTTGATACAGCCATCTGTTAATCAAGCACATTCTGATAAGGTTGACCATATGTTAGACAAATTTCAAAGATAGTTGCTATGGTAATTAAGTTTAAAGGAAATCTTAATGTAATGGGATGGTCACTTTTGTGTAACATGTAAGTTGTAACTTTAAAAATTCTGATATATATACGATTATGAATGACAAATACAATATGTTTTTTTTTTTAATCTGAGGGATGTTGTTCAAAATTAAAACATATAAATAATTTCAATCATTTTATAATGTTGATCTTGAAGTTAATACGTTTCAGGTGAAATATTTTCTAGATTTTGTTTAAATCATTTCAATCCTAAATAATCATGAAATATTTGCCACTGAACATTAGTATCATCACACAAATTACCAATATTTTAATATTTTATTTCTGAAATCTATAACGATTGCATTTATTACCATTACTGAAGTTAATGGAAGAAATCTATCTTTAGATGTACCTTGTTCCGTAATGTTTCAGAAATGTGGTATAATGATTTCTAAATCGCATGCAAACATAAACGATATATTTGTGAAACCTGATCATATACACATTTGCATCACAGTGTAACAGTGTTTTATATATCAAATAGAGTATTTATTTCTTAATCTTATTAAATTCATTACACATGTTACAAGAATGTTGTAATTTATATATAATTATACGGACTCGGCTGAATTTAGTTTTTTGTCCTCGTCAAAACTTTTATTAGTAAATGTTAGTCACAAAAAGCTGACGCTTGAAATATAAAAAAATAGGGGGAATGTAAAAAAAAAGACTATACCACACTTAAGGATATTTATAAAAGAAAAAGACTATAAAGATAATGGTCTGAATTACTTGAAGTAGCTTTTCTTTTTAATATACAATATTACATTTTAATATAAATTTATAGGTCAGGTATTTGAGTACTACAGAAGACAAAATAAATCAGAGTGCAAAAGGAATAATACAGAGCTAGGAATAATAGGAATTATTGACAACATCCGGTCTAGAAAATGCATCGGAATGGAGATGGGGAAAATGCATTCTACCATTTGATAGCCCAGAATGAATAACTTTAAGAAAGTAAGTTAACATGATAGCCATCCTTTATGCTACATCGGATTCGAATTTCATAGATATATATGCATAAAATGTTAATACTACCGTTAATGCTAGTGTATTTAGATTTGACTTTTTTTTCAACTAGTTTTATTTATTTACTTAGAACGTTTTTTGACAAAGTTTCCTGTATCCATTTCTACACTCAATTCTCCTGCTTAACCTAGCTAGCGAGGTGAAGTCTAACCATTATGGTAAAGCATGCACTATGCCTTTTGCCTTGGCTTGTATAGCCTAGGGAAAATATAAAAAAAGAGTATTTTTTTTCTAACTATTGTAATGTGCCAGGACACCGGAAACAATGTATTATTTGTCTTTTTGTTTATTTTTTATGAGGATTTGATACATTCTAAATAAACATACAATGAGTTCTCATTTATTCATTACTTTATTACAGAGGCAGTGAAATAACTTTCATGAAGATATGCTAAACTTGATAAAGGATTTAACATAAGAAGGAGTCAGAAATAGTGACAGAACAAAGTGTAGCAGAAAACAAAAGGAACACTCTTTTGAATAAAAACCATGTTGGAATACAGAACTAGAAAAATAGCTGTATAAAATGAATTATCAATGCCTTCATACAGAGATTGGATATTGCAACAAAAACTGTAATGATATTATACAAATGGGATAAATGAATTATCATGAATAGACTTTATAATTTTCTTTCTAGATCTGATTTAGCAACGTCTAGATACAAAAAAGATTTTTTAAAACTTTGCTGGTTGTCTAGCTAATAATAAATTATATTTAATCATACCTTTGTATTTACATTACGTAAGAAAAATAGGTAACATTGATATGTTGATTGAATTCATTCAAATATGGGTAAAATTCAGAAGTACAATTCCTGGAGAGAGATTGATTGGTTGTTGGTTACTGAAACCGTCCATTGGCAAATATTTCATGCATATTCAGGAAGATAGAGAAAAAGTGGAAAAATAAAAAATTTTCGGGTAGTATGTAAGACACAATATGGTATAGTGGATCTGTAAAACGCAATAATTGCAACATTTAAAAAAAAATACTTTCGCCATTTTGAACTGATGTAAGAACCAGGAATTATTGCAGTTGTTGCCTGGAAGGGATTTTAGTATCCTTCATATGGATAGAAAAGTTCACAGATTGGTCCAACGGAGTGCCAACGTTTGTTAACAGTTAGTATAACTACGTTGGCCCAACGTTTGTTCAACATCGGCAAGTAATATTCCATCATTGGACCAACGTTTGGCCAATGTATTGTATAAAACCTTACAACGTTGTGCCAACGTTTAGTCATCACGTTGGGCCAACATAGGGCCACTTTGCACTTATACATTGGGCCAACGTTTAAAAACAACGTTGGGCCAACGTTGTGCCAACGTACCAATGTTGTCTGGGAACGGGTTAAACCGTTTATCCAAGGCAGATGGTCCAAGGACACAGTTATCGTCCTTTGGTTTTCGTTGTCTGAATATAGTCCCTAGTGTGAACAGTGTATAACTTGCATTTTTTTTTTTGATACACTTTCCCAATTTATTTCTTGATATTTTATGCATGAAATATTAAGTAAGGGGATGAAATTACATGTTAAAAAAATTTGGGTGCTGAATCTTTATGTTAAGTAGTGATTTGGTCCAGTTAAAAAAGGTCAAAAATTAGAATGTCTGAAGCTGTCAAACTGAATTTTAGCCCCCCTTAACACAGAATTGTCAATATTTTGAGTTAGAGCTGGTAGAAGTTTCTATAATTTTGATATTATTTGTATCAATAGTAGTACACTACACTGTAAAAATCTTTTTGAGATAGAGCAGGTGTGATTTTTTTAATTTGAATTTATTGTCTAAAAGAAATGCACTACGAAATAACTGTGTTCTCGGGCCAGATTTATCAACGATGTTTCATTATATATTTATAATATTGGTTTCCATCAAAATTATTTCTTATCATGTAGAAGTACATCACTAGAATGCTCAAACAAAACGTTTATTTGTTTGGCAACATTGCTGACTATGAATAGTGTAATAGATTATATTATATATAATACATAGATATTTTTAAAGCAATCATGTTGTGATCAATAAAAATAGACATTTACTATACCAACATAAGAATATAGATTAGTTTCTTTCTGAATTTGGAACTAGTAAACAAAATGAAAATAAAACTTCTATAAATTTTATGCGTGCGAACTTTTCGGAATTTTCAGTTTTGAAGCTCTTCAATTTCGTATTTCGTTTAATTTTTGCTCTTCCAGCCAATTTGATTCGAGCGCTACTGATGATTACTTGGTAGACGAAATGTGCGTTTGTCCACATAAGACTAGTCAGTTGCGCTCGAATCAAACAGTTGAATAGCCAGAACATTTTGTAAATCTACTGTTTATAAAATGTAGTAGTATTCTAAAGAGAGTTCATTATGAAAGTACATTTACGTAATTATAGTCTTCATAGCTGTTGATGTGCTGCACATACAACTAAACATTTAAATGTAGCTGAAGATTTAGGTGATCAACATTCAAAGCACATGAAAGTTACAGCACACTTTGGAATTATCATTCAAAAATTATACCTGCCTGTAACAAACTTCAGTTATTTATTTATATATATTTATTTCACATAGGACTATATTTTATGTTAGGGCTTATTTTCACTAACACCGAACTATATATCGTCAAGCAGACTTGTCATGTGTATCACGTGATTAGGCACCTATTGAAGTTTCACAAATGAGTTTAAAATCAGTCGACACATGGCCATTGAGTAAAGCACATGCTTGTGCGGCGTATAGAGTTGGTAAAAATTTGCAGTTGGGTATCAGAATTGTCAATTCAGTACATGGATATCCCAAGGCTTATTATTACAACATTCATGGTTTTTTAGGCCCGGTTTTGGTGTGCGTAGAGCACGTAGTAAATACCGTCGACTGGTCGGTGATATATTGTGTCGGAGATACAAATGGTGTCATTGTTAATATGGTAACAACTCGATGTTTGCTGATATCAATTACAACGCCTGGAGTCGGTGAAATTATCCGTTAGAAATATACAAAAAAATCCGTTAAAATATATGTTAAAGGAATCAGCAGTCCGTGCAGTATTATGCAGTTTAAAGTCGTCATAGCTCATTGAAGTTATCATTGCAGTAACATTATATAATCTAGTGTTCTTTTCATTAATTTAGAATCAACCAAAAATGTGTGAAAATAGTTATATTCCGTTCGTTTAATATTAAAAGATATCCAAGGGGAACAACCAAAATTTATACTACAGTACGTGCACCGTTCAACCTTAGCGGGAGGCGTGCTGAGTTGATGGAGGTGTGCAGACATTTGTGTTTATTCATTTCTTTATTTCATTTATGTTGAATTTACTTTACTTCAGTTTTGTTAATTAAATTCATATTTAAATTTAGTTTTGTATAACATTGGCCACTTGACAATCCAAAGAACTAAGTTACTTACTTCGTCACACTGTCATTTGTCTATAATCTTTCCCTTATCAGCACATGTCACTTATTTCCCAGGAATTCTGCACTCATTTTGCTGATTCGTTATATTACTGCATGTGTTGCATAAAAGGAATTAACGGTACAGAAATTAAACATCAAATGTACATGAACAATCATCGTGGATTTTATGGCCTATGATTGACACGTTATGGACCCGGGTTTTAATCGGTAAATTTTGTAGTTAACCTTCTTACTATTATCACGTGACACGATCTGCAGAAGGACAAATAATCCACTTAGCAACAGATCAATTCAAGAAGAAAGAAAAAAAACAAAGCTACATAACATGAAAAACACTACTTGAGAAGAGTTTCAAAGAATAAAGTTATTTTAACATCTCATGACAAAATAATGTTTCCTGTTGGGCTTAATGTTACCAACCCTACCTCTCCAAATAAAAAAAACTCACAACAAAACAAAAACAAACAAAACAAAAAACAAAAAAAACAAAAACAGTACAATTCTTATGTAAAGCAAACAAAACAAAGCAAAAAGAGAAGATTGTGAAATACTGCAATAGCTACTGTTAAATGCAATTGTATATATGTAGGCTTTTAGAACGTGAAATACTCTTACTGAAATAGTTAATGTTAAATGCATATATGTAACTGCACGTATGTGGCGGTATATGAACTACTTAGACCAATTGGCCACCGAGGTCCCGAGATGTGTGAGAACTACTGAATTTATAGCACGGAAAATATCCACAACAGATTGAAATTTTGACCGATTAAATATTTCAGATCTTCTTTAGATATAAAAAATAAATAACAGCATAATCTTAAATTCATTTGATTATAAGTATTATTGCAATAAGAAGTAGTAGGAAATTTTGGAATGAAAATAATTGAATTATAGAAACATTGTAAAACATTTATACAATCATAATTTACTAATAATAGTTTTAGGTAAATTCACGTAACATAAAAAACAGTCTCATCTTATTGATAGATAAGACCATATGAAGAAATGAAGGCCTTAAATGTAGACTTAAGGAAAATATACACTGCAAAAAATTATAAAAGTCATTCAGACAAACTTGCTTTTTGTTGATATGATACTGCGTGTAATATTGCACATAAGGCAATAATTGCAAGTAATATATAAACTGAATCGAATAAGTTAATAAGTCAACAAATAAGGTAAAGGAATGTTGAAGCTGTATAAAAGATATACAGAAAAGAAAATACGGTGAGGGAAAAAGCAAGTCGACACTATCTATAATTATAATAATAGTGAGTCCAGTGTTAGTAAAAGTGATAAATTGAAACCGTTATCTTTTATTAATTAGCTCACCTGACCCTAAGGGCCATGTGAGCTTTTCTCATCACTTGGAGTCCGTCGTCCGTCGTCCCTCGTCGTTTTACAAAAATCTTCTCTGAAACTACTGATCCAAATTTAACCAAACTTGGCCACAATCATCATAAGGGAATTTAGTTTACAAAATGTTTCCGATGACCCCGCCTACCGACCAAGATGGCCGACATGGCTAAAAATAGAACATAGTGGTAAAATGCAAGTTTTGTCTAATAACTTGAAAACCACTATAAATAGAGAAAATCTGACTAAGCAGAAATGTTTAGAATGCTGAGATCTACCTATTGTCTATTTACTTCCATACTGTCAGACGACTTTTTATAGGAGTTATTGCCCTTGAATGACGAATTTTACCAACTTTTAAATTTTTTGCCTATTCTCTTGAAAATTATAATACTAGTAGATAGAGAGAAACTTCCTATAGCAAAAACGATTATGATATCAAGATAAGTTCTACAAATAAGTCATTATGATTGAAATCGTCGGATGACTCTTATTGTAGCTATTGCCCTTTAATGACGATTTTTACTATTTTTTTGCGTTATTGCCTAATATCTGAAAAAGTATAATAGATAGATAGAAACGTAAATAGTCAAGAATGATCAAAAAGACAAGATCTACAAATAAAATGAATAGTTTAAATCGTTTGACTACCCCTTATTGGAGTTATTGCCCATTAATGATGGTTCTGACCAATTTTTTGCGTGTTTGCCTTATATCTGAAAAACTATAATAGATAGATAGAAACTTAAATAAACAAAAAAGATCACCAAGACAAGATCTACAAATAATTTAACATAGTTTTAATCGGCTGACGGCCCCTTATTGGAGTTGTTCTCATTAATAACGATTTACGATTTTTATAATTTTTTGGCAATGTTGCCTACTATCTGAAAAACTTTTTAGATAGATAGAAACTTAAATAAGCAATAATGATCATCAAGGCTAGATCAA